GACGTCAACGGCGACCTCACTTTGCGTTCAGGTGCGCGTGCATGCAGATGTAGTGTTGGACGCGCGCGTCAGCCCCGGTGCACTCACGTCACCCCCCCCCCCCCCCCTCCCCCCTGCTCGCCTCGCCGTCGCGTGTCGCTTCGCGCTTTCGTTGGCGCAGCTCGTGCAAGCTGAAGGCCTACCTTGGTACAGTGAGGCCGAGACCGCCCTCCGCCGCGCCGAACGCAATGCCGTCACGCCGACGCAGGCCGCGGCGGCGGAGCATCTGCTCAGCGTGCTGCCGGAGCTCGTGAGCGGGAGCAGGGAGGAGGTGCCCCTACCGCACATCCACCGCAATGCCGGCGTGTCTGGGTGTGCATACTGTGCGCCCTGTACAAGTGCTCGACGGGCGACGACTTCATCGGCCAGATTTGCCCTCGAGTGAGGGCCGACGGCGGAGGTGCGCCGCCAGATTTGAGAGATTTTAGAAAACCAACAAGAAATCTTCTCAGATTTGAAGAGAGTTTTTTTGTTTATTGTTTTGTCAGATTTGTCGCACGAGTGCAAAAAACCAAACAACTCTAACACTCACACGTCATTTTGGGGCCTGGAGCCCCTGCACATGCCCTGACCCCTGTTCACGCGCGCGCGAGACGTGCAGACAGGGTTGCCAGGTGAGAGCGGATGGCGCGGTTCACGCCTCGCACAACAGAGAGAGAGATGCGCTCTGCATGGTGGGACATAAAAGAGAGCGAGGACTTGGGCGAGTAGGCCGTGCGGTCAACGCTGCCGCGCGCGACTTTGCGCGCGAGGCGGCGCAGCTTGAGAACGGCGGTGGGCGAGAAGCCGCCGCCGAACGTCTCGTGGAGCAGCAGGTTGAAGTTGTTGCGCTTGACAAAGATCGCGTCGTGGTAGAAACCGCGATGCGCCTTGACGTAGCCGTGGCCGGTCTTGTGGGAGAAGGGTTGGCCGGGCTGCCCGCGCGCCTTGGGCAGCCCATGTTGTTGTTACTTGCATGCACATGCACATGCAGTCAGGCGGCTCCCACGCGCCACGGGTTCTGGTGTCCCTGTGTTTTTGTTGCCCTGTTGCCCTGTTCACGCGCGCGCGAGACGTGCAGACAGGGTTGCCAGGTGAGAGCGAATGGCGCGGTTCACGCCTCGCACAACAGAGAGAGAGATGCGCTCTGCATGGTGGGACATAAAAGAGAGCGAGTACTTGGGCGAGTAGGCTGTGCGGTCAACGCTGCCGCGCGCGACTTTGCGCGCGAGGCGGCGCAGCTTGAGAACGGCGGTGGGCGAGAAGCCGCCGCCGAACGTCTCGTGGAGCAGCAGGGTGAAGTTGTTGCGCTTGACAAAGATCGCGTCGTGGTAGAAACCGCGATGCGCCTTGACGTAGCCGTGGCCGTTCTTGTGGTCGAACGTCGAAGAGGGTTGTTTTGAGATTTTGTTTTGAGATTGTGCCTAGGAGGGAGGGGCGCTGGCAACGGCATCACTCTGCCCTACCAGCAGCCCGGGTTCAAGCCTGAATCAGTGATGCCGCCGGTTCGCACCCCGGCCGCCGCCGCTAGCTCGGCCGCCGCCGCTAGCTCCAGCTCAGACGATCCTCTAGATCTTCCCCCTCTAACCGCTGATGGGCCGGTGTCGATGCAGCTTGCTGAGCCTGAAGGCGAGGAGGAGCTTTAGCTTTATGGACTCGGTGTTTTGTGACCCCCCCGCCTGAGGAGTGGACTGACTTCTAGCTGTGTGTATCGCGCGCCTTGCGGGGCTGTGTCGTGGTGTGTGCGTGTGCGTTAATACCGCGCAAAAGGGCTCTCTCTACTCGAGTATCCGTCCGCGCAGACGCAGTTACTCTGCCGCGGTTCCCCCTTTTGCGCAGCAACACCTTAAACTTTTAGGCCCTCCAAATTCGGGTCGGAGCGTAGCGCGTAGCGGAGTGGGCCCCGAGTTTGAAAAGGGCGACGGACGCTTGCGTCCTAGCCCCCAACAACGCCTCCCCGGCGCAGAGGGGCCCCCCGAGGGATGCGGCAACGCCCCACGCCGCTTGCGGCGGTCCTATTCCCAGCTCTGCTGAGGGCCCGTGCGTACTTGTGACCAATGAAGAGAGCGCGCGACGAGGCCGAGCAGCAGCCGCCTGCCGACGAGCAGCCTCCTGAAGATCCGCCGTGGGAGCGCGACCCTGACTCCTACGTTGCGGCAAGAGACGTCGTCAAGCTTCGCTTTGTCGCGTCGGCGTCCGACGTGCTGACCGACGCAGAGGCGCCGGCCTTTACGCCGCCGTTTTTGCACCAGCACTTCGCCAACGAAGCGCTCGCGCTGCCCGTGAGCCAGCGGCCGCTGACGATCGAGGTGCTCTACGCGGCGCACACGCTGGTCCCGTTCCCGCGCTGCGACCGACCTATGGAGG